GGAGCAAGCCCGCAGGTGTGGAGATGGCTCGCAGAAGCGGAAGGTGCCAGGCCGCTGAGAACCGGAGAAGCGGAAATATTTGCACACCTGCGATGGCGCAGGTGCATGCCAGTTGTTGTAGAAGCGAAAATAGCCGCAGATGCGGAAGAGGAATTCGTAGAAGCGGAAGCTCGGATGCGGCCAAGGAGCCGCAGGTGCGAAAAGTCGCTGGGGCAGTGAGGTTTCTTTAAAACAGGACTTGGCCCATTATTCTCCCATTTTTAATTTGGTTTGGGCGATTTTGGAGAGCTTCAAGGGGAGATTTTCATCAGGCAACTCAAGGTAAGTGATCCTTACTTATTATAAGTCAAATAGATAGTTTGTATAAGGATTTAAACATGGAAATTAGTGGAAATTTGGGGTTCTGAAGAAAAACCTAGAAATTGGTATTCTTAGATTTTGATCATGAATTTTGGACATGGTTTGGGAATAAATTATATATTTGAGTTCGTAAGGTTATGGGTAATATTTACCTTCGAAAAATTTCGAAAATCTGGGCACGTGAGCCCGAGGGCGATTTTATCGACTTTCCGAGCGGAGTTGGGAATTTGTTGTAAATTGAATTGTTATGAGTATTAGAGTATATTCTCATTGGTTTGCACATTGTTTGGCTAGTTCTGGAGTATTGGGCATCGGTTTGAGGTGTTAGAGTGGTATTGGAGCCGGTTATGGAACTTCGGAGCGAGGTAAGTCTCCTTTCTAACCTTGTAAGAGGGAATTAACCCCATAGGTGAACTAAATTATTATGTGCTTCTATTTGTGGGGGCTACGTACGCACGAGGTGACGAGAGTCCGTACGTAGCTACTAGCTATGCCTATGTTTGGGTAGTTTTAGGCTTACATCATGCCTTGTTGATATTACTGTCGATTTATGTTTATTGTTTGCCTTGAGAAGAAGCAAGATTTAGGTTGAGTAATAATTGTCTCGAAAGAATTGAAATTTGCAAAATTTAAGATTTAAAAGGTTCCGTTTGAACTTCGTAATTTCGAAAAGAATTGAGGTAATTTCGCGAGTGGGGTAATTTACTCAAAAAGTTTCAAGATGAATTTCCATTATTTTGAAAAGAATCAAGAAAGAGATATGACATAAATGTTAAATTTATATTTGACTGCATCGCATGTATGATTTGCGAACGGGGACAGCGTCGCATGTATGATTCTCGAGCAGGAAAATAGATGCATCTATGGTTCGCCGTTCGATCCTCGGCAGTGCATAATTTATTTATGTTGGATTGGGCCGAACTTCTTTGGTGGAAATTATGTGTGATAATATAACTGGAAACCCTTTTTTTTATTTATAATTTGTATAAATTCATTGTTGAGAGATCATTTGTTTTAAATGAAGGAAGTATTTTGGGGTTCTTTAATATTGATGAAAGAACTGTTCAGCTATTTTCTTGTTCTGAGTTTTGCTGTTATCTCTATAAATCATGCTTAATTAGAATTTCATTTTATCATATCATTGGACCACTAGTAAGTGTCGGGAGTCGGCCTCTCGTCACTACTTCTTCGAGGTTAGACGGGATACTTACTGGGTACGCGTTGTTTTCGTACTCATACTACACTTGCCGTACATTTTGTTGTACATGCACATGTGTGTTCAGTGGCCTTATGGGCGCATCGGCGTGGGTGATGCATGTACTTAAGTGAGCTGCATCTTATGAGACAATCCGCAGCCAGTAGAGTCTCCCTCAGAGTACTTGTATTTTCTTTCTATCCAAATTTGTATTCTGGACAGTTATTGTATTGTATTTTAAATCCTAGTAATTGCTCATGCACTTGTGACACCGGGTTCTGGGATGATTATGTAATATTCAGTATTGAATTGGAAAACATTTTTATTTCTCCGTAAAACTCATCTAATACTAGTTAAATTAAAGAAAATTTATGATTTCAAAAATATTAAAAGGAGATTTAATTAACTAGTTAATGTTGGCTTGCCTGACAGCTGTGTCCGGCGCCAACGTGACAGTGCTTATCTGAGACTATGCACATTCCCTCTCTTTCCCCAATTGCATTCTTGAACCTCGTGAAAAATCACTCCTAGGAAGCATTATTCTCTGAATCTACTATGGCATACGCGAGTGGTAGGATACTACCTAATAAATTGAATTATATAAACATATGTGAGTATATACATGAATAATATATATATATTTTTTACATTATTATTCTTATTTTTACCTGCTGGATCTTGTGTGGATGTTATTAATAATGTTCCTTTGTATGTCAATTTAAGAAAGACCCCATCTACAACAACAACCGGTTTGCAATACCCTCATCCTTTTATAGACGGATATAGTGCAACGAAAGCATATATGAACAGGTCTTCCTCTATTTTTTTCAAACTTACTGCCGACATAGGATTTGTAAGAACCAACATATAAAAGTAGCTTGGCAGCTTTTCACATGATTCGCTCAGGTTCCCTCTCAGTAGTTCAACTGTATATTCCTTCGATTTCCATGCTTGCATATATGTCATTTGAAGACCATACTGCTTGTTCATGTCTCCAATTATGCCATTAAGAGTGTATATTATTTTTGTGTCTTTATACTTGTCTATCAGAAGACTGCCGATGAGTTTTGCAGTAGCTTGACGTTGTGCATAATATTTGTCTTTCAGCGGGCATGAGTGCAGTTTGCTGAAATTTCTGACCTTGAAAAGTTTTGCTTTTTTCAGGCTCGAAGACTTAAAACACTAATCGCAGTTGTTGTTGATGCTTACTAGGTAGTACTTACGACAAGGATATAAACTTTTCATCAATAAACAAAGCGACATGAAATACAATAATATATATTGATACACACTATCATCAACAAAAAAATGCAACGACTATAAAGTACTACACGGTGACAACCATAACTTAATAGTGTACATCAACAAACTTACAAGCAGCAATTTATTTTCTGCATAATTATGCTTCTAACATCAACTGGAATGTTTCCTTTACTGCCAAGTGCTTCATGACTATGACTATTGTAGCTTTGTCTTTATAAATTTGACCTTCTTCAATATCTATGTGTTGAGAGTCAGTTATTATTGTATTTTCATTAGATTCTGTATCCTATCTGTCTTTTCCATCCCAAAACCAATCATATTAATTGTATCACCATTGTATCTCTCCTGTATAATTGAGCTTTGTGCACATTCTGATGAAATCACAGTCGAATTTGAATTGTAGCAGATCATGTCCACATCCTTTTCACTCAATGTTATACAAATGGAATACATTGTAAATTTTGAGCTTTTTTTTAGCTCAAGATATACACATACACCTATATTATTGTGTATCACTATTGGCGGAGAATCGTTTTGGATAGTGTATTTGATTTTAGTAACATTCAATGAAGTATCTAGCATAAGTTGTTACGAAATCACGTCTACAAAATCTTCAAGACTTATATTTGGAGTAACTATTAAAACATCAGCATTGTAATTCACAAAATTGTTGTCAACATTCCATCGGCCACCATACTGAATAAAAATTAGTAAATTTGCCATTGAAGTAGCTGAAATTAGGTCAAAACTCACTAATTCCTTGATTGATTTTGATTGTAGTTCATAGTTCCTTTATCAAAGCTGTATCTACAGGAAATCGCGAAAGAAAATTATTGCTTCTACAGTGAAATTGATCGATTTTTGAGTGAAATTTGGAGATCCTTGAGAATTTTTTGGGAGAGAAGGCCGTGATTTACATAATGTTGGTCTATGTGAAATTGATACGCTTGAAAAACAGGGAAGGAAGATCTTTAGCGTGATTCTCGGAAGGAAGAATCCTTCCTTGCGTGTATTTCTGATTTTTAGCTACTTTTGGTAAGTGTTTAATTTTGAAAGAATTACAAGAAAATACACATGACTTCACACCATAACAAAAAATGGCCCATATTTTTAAGTTTTACCCCACCTAGCCCACATTGTACATATTTTGAAAGCACTTGCAAATTCAAAATATATGTTTTTACAACAATTGCTTCTAAAAGCTATGGAGTTAATTCTTTGTTCTCAAAACTATTGCTTTCACTCTCTCTTCTTCTCACGTCTTTTACATATGCTTCAAAGGACCGTGTATTTTCTGCTTCTCCTCTTGTGTCACCTGCTTGCAATGAAAGAAAATTGAAGAGTAGAAGTCTACCATTGAAGATCATTCAAAGCTTTGCTTTTGAAAATGGGTTGTTTTGAATTTGTTAGTTGTTTGGATTGGGTATTGTTCCAATTGATTGAAAATATCAAAAGGAGTACAAAATTTAAATTTGAAGTGATTTGGAGTAGATTTGAGCAAGATTTGAATTAAATTTCAGAAAAGACGCAAGAAAGAAGACGAAGTCAGTTTTTTGTATAATTATGTATAATCTTGTATAATATTGTATATGAGTGTAGAAACATACCTTATACACTGTTATACACTTTTATACACCTTTATACAAGCGTCTGTAGACGAACTTCTTCCACGATTTTCAGTTGCAATTCTTATTCAAAACCAGTCCAGATCTCCATTAAATGACTTCAAATTTTATATACAACCTCCTTATACTATTTCTAACAAGTCTAAATAACACCCACTCCAAATTTTTCATAAAATCAAATTCAAAATTTAAGCCCACATATTTAAGCTTGTTAAAAATCTAATTTTCACCATCCAAATGAAGTTGGTTTGTTGAATTAATATTTGAGTCACAATTACTGATTCGAAAAGTAATTTAAAAGCTTGAGGAATCTTTTTTAAAAATTAAATAGTAATTTTGAGAACCTATTGGAGTTGTATGTTGAATCTTAGCCTATTATTTATGGGCTAGTTGGTTGTAAATTGAAATATGAGCTATAAAATTAAAAAGTATGAAACCCAATTATTCTAATGTAAAATTTTCTCTTTAATTTTAGGCTAAAGGTCGGTAAATTTGAGTTTAAATTGGCTATTTCTATACTTCTCCCAATTTAAATTAGACGAGCAAGAGGCAATTCCTTTCTCTTTTTGTGGGCACCGCATCCTCAACGGGCCTCAACGAAAAAAACCAGTCAAATTAAAGGGAATCCCAAAACATCTTCTGCGCTTTTCCAAACGGTAAAGGTAGATGGAGGGCAATGTAGTCATTTGAACTCAGCTTCCTCATCAGATTTAGGCCACTAAAACGTCGGCGTATTGCTGGTCGAACCAACTTCAACTTCCAGTCTTCTGTCTTCCCCATATAGAGAGATTTGCTTGTTAATGTGTGTCTCTCATTTTTCAAATTTGTTCTTCTTCGCCCAAATTTTGGAAACCCTAACATTTTCGGATTTTTTCAAGGAAAGTATCTAATAAATTTTGGTGATTGAGGAAATCATAATGGTGGGAGGAGCACTGGCAGGGTTGCAAGATCATGTGAAATTGGCAAGAGAATATGCAGTTGAAGGCCTTTATGACACTTCCGTCATCTTCTTCGATGGCGCTATTGCTCAGATCAACAAGTACTCTCTCAGATCCCTTCTGCCTATATGTCTTTATTTGTCTACGTATTTATGTAGTTACGTCCCGAATTGCGAAATGTGTATTTCAACTTATGTTGTGTTTGGTATGACTGTTAAATTTTTGCCGCAATGAAATCATTTCCTACGTTTGGTTTCCTTTGGTTTTTGGGAAGGTATAAAATGTAATGTTTCCAGCAAAAGGGGAAAATAACTTACTGTCAGTTGTGAGCTGAAATTTTTTCTTTTTGATGAGTAAAAAAGTAATTTTTATTTGTGTACTGATCTGATGAGGCTTGCATTATCATTTTTAAAAAAGATTTTGAAGCTTGAAGGAGTACCCATAGTGAGATGAAGGCTTTAATCTGTTCTCTGTCAGTTCTGCTAACTTTAGTTATAACATTGTCTATACCGCTTTGACAGTAGTTAATCCAGCTGCTTTTAACTGGGTTGTTCCATTCTTTTGGTCTATGCATAGGCACTTAAACACACTTGATGACCCTTTGATTCGTTCAAAATGGATGAATGTAAAGAAAGCAATTTCCGAAGAAACAGAGGTAGTGAAACAATTGGACGCCGAGAAAAGGGCTTTTAAGGAGGTTCCTATGGGGGGTAGACGTCCTAATTCACCTCCGATTTCGACCAAGTCATCTTCTTTTGTCTTTCAACCGCTTGATGAGTACCCCACCTCATCTGGTGCTCCAATGGATGACCCTGATGTTTGGAGACCACCAAGTCGAGACACATCAAGAAGATCTGCAAGAGCCGGTCCAGGGGGTATGAGAAAGGGCCCACAAGATGGAGCCTGGGCTCGTGGATCTACAAAGACTGGAACCACAGGCCGTGGAGGAAGGACCACTGGCTCTACTAAGGCTACTTCTGCGGTTCGATCTTCAACTACTGGGAAAAAAGGACCTGGAAAATCCACAAAAACCGACTCTACGGTAAATTATATTGGACAATCTATGTTTTGATTTTTGTTTTTTCCGTAATTTGCAACAACAACAACAACCCAGTGGAATCCCACAAGTGGGGGTTTTCTGTAATTTGCCTCTCTTTAAAATTATTCATTGCTAATTCGTCTGCTTTTCTGTTTGCTTAGAAGCTTGTGATTAGTTAGTCAGCTAACTGTTTTTGTTGTATGTGGCAAGCGGCAAAAGTCATTTTTATCATACATGTAGCTTGTTCTGGTCAGTTAATCAGCTGACTGTCTATGGCGTGTGCCAATCTCCAAGTTTTATTTTTATCCTAATATGTGGCTTGTAGTGGTTACCTTATATGTAAGTGTTCGTATTGAATACAAGGACAATCGGCTTCATAATGCTTTCTGATTCCATAACTGTTACTTGTTGAATATGGGTGTCCTTGTTAGACCATCAACTATGAGTTGAATCTGAATCTACATGTTAAGAACTTCTATTGCAAATTGCTAGGATGGTGATGCTGAAGATGGGAAGAGTAAAAAAGGTCAGTACGAGGGGCCTGATGCGGACCTGGCTGCTATGCTTGAGAGGGATGTCTTGGATTCTACCCCTGGTGTGAGATGGGACGATGTTGCTGGGTTAAGTGAAGCCAAAAGACTTTTGGAGGAAGCAGTTGTTCTCCCATTATGGATGCCAGATTATTTCCAGGTATCATAGTTGGATTAGAAAGGAACATTTTGTGGAGTTTTGTGTTTAGTCTTATTCTGCAAAGTAGCTTTTGTACAAGTGAAGATTCACGTACACATGAGTAAACCGTGCTTCTTATGATGAGAATATGAAGACCTTATATGATTTGGGCAACAGTACCAAGTGGCTACCTTAGCAAAAACTTTGTGCTAAATGTACTAGGAGCTTTTATGGTAGTATTATGTTCACACGCCTATCAAAGAGGAAATAATGTATCTTCAACCTATATGCATCATGTCACAATTTTTACTGATCAGGTATGTATCTTTGCAGGGAATCAGGAGACCATGGAAGGGTGTTCTTATGTTTGGGCCTCCTGGAACGGGAAAGACACTTTTGGCTAAGGCTGTTGCTACAGAGTGTGGGACGACATTTTTCAATGTTTCTTCTGCCACCTTGGCTTCAAAATGGCGTGGGGAGAGTGAACGCATGGTGCGGTGCTTGTTTGATCTTGCTCGTGCTTATGCTCCTAGTACAATTTTCATCGATGAGATTGATTCTCTTTGTAATTCCCGAGGGTGAGGACTTTGTCTATTATTCGATGCTACCTAAATCTTTGCAGCTGACCTCTGTTTGGTTAAATGCTTCTTTTAAAGATTATGTATGATGTTGGTTTATACTAATGCTGGATATAAAAGCCTTCACTTGTATCTTTTTGAATGGATAGAATTAACCTTTTGAAATGAGTACTGTTGTCTCCAAATACTTGGTCCAGTGTGCCTTAATCTGTGACCTAATTATGGTATGTTGAGTAGTTTCTTACACTCTTTCTGAGGTTGAACCTGAGATAATGGTTGGATTGCTTTTCAGGGGTTCAGGAGAGCATGAATCATCCCGAAGGGTGAAGTCTGAACTTCTTGTTCAGGTAGATGGTGTAAGCAACTCTGCCACTAATGAAGATGGCACTCGGAAGATTGTGATGGTTTTAGCAGCTACAAACTTTCCATGGGATATAGATGAGGCATTAAGGTTGTGTCTCATTGTATTCGTTCTTTTCCTTTATTTCATTGAGATGCATGTGAATGTCTCCTTGACCTAATTCTGTTGATGGAAATTCAGGAGACGTTTGGAAAAACGTATATATATCCCCCTACCTAGCTTTGAGAGTCGGAAGGAGCTTATACGGATCAATTTGAAAAGTATCGAGGTTAGCAGTGTTTTGAAAATGTTTTCTCAGGCCACTTTCTCGTCTTTCGTATGTCTCTGTTAGCTCATCATGTATCTGTCTATAGCTTCTTTTGAATGTAATTGCCCTTGTAGTACTTATTGTGCTTATCAAAGCTATGATTATTAGTTCACTATGAGAAATTCTACTGTATGATTGGTGCATATTTATCAATCTTGGTAGCTGTGGCTTGTGGACTTTTTCACCTGGCTACTGTGGCATCCTAAAATAATATCGAGATTTCGAAGAGATAAAAGGGAGAAACAAATAACAAGAAGGCCAAGTAGATATGGAGCAATATAACATACAGTTATTATGTTGCTTTTGTATCAGATGAATTAAAACCTTTAGAAACAATATGTTCTACGAAAGACTGTCTTAAGCCTAATCTGGAAAATTCTCTTCTAACTGTTATAGCTATCTTGCCCTGGAGTAAATAATGGGAACGTGTACCTGTGAAATGATGTTGAGCCATCAATGGATGCAAAGCAGTTTTCTTTAATTGATCCTTTTAGGTGTTTGTCAGATAGGTAACGCCATAGCAATTCTTTGGTGAAGGTTGAGATACGAGGCTTTGGAAAAGTCACTCCGAACACTTGCTCTGTTCACTTTACGTGATTTAAAAAAAGGAAAACTAAATACATGGATGTTGAGCTTAGATGTCATGTCATTGGACTTTTGTGAATCAAAGATGTGATGTGTTTGCATTAGTGCAGGATTTGGTGATTGTACTCAAAACATTATGTCTTGGATGTCTTGTTTCATTAACAGCTATGTTGTGTTATGTTGATCTATATTTGAAGTTTCTTCTGATTTGTTTTTATGGGTAAATATTTTATTACCTTGTTGCATTTACTTGCACAAAATGTTAAATTTAAGTTTACTGAACCTATAGTTGCATCCTTTCCAATTGTTAATATTTAAGGCACTGCTACTCAAAAATGAACGTAGAAAGTTTTAAGACAGCTTATGACAGGCGGACTTGGTTTCAGATGTTTGGACTTTGAAGAATACTCTACATCCTTGATATTTCATTAAGTTCTTTGCTTTTGCAGGAATAGAGAATGGGTGTAGACTTTAATTAGGAATTTTTAGTAAAATTGGCTTGCCTCCATTTGAATATTCTTGATATTCTTTTTCTTTTTGTTTTGAATTCTGTACAAGCATGCTTTTTCTCCAATTTCTCAAGGCATCGACATTATAAAAAGTACGTCTCTTTATTTGTGCAACTGGCGTCCCATCTAATTGGATTTTAGCTTGTAAAAGTTTTTGCTATGGGAATATGCTTCTGCCATCTGAGGGATGAGTTTGAAGGAATTCTACCTAGTTTTTTTGTTGGATGAATCTTTCGCTTAACAAAGTGCAAATATCTGGCAATGACATCAGGTAGCTCCAGATGTGGACATAGAGGAAGTGGCTCGTAAAACAGAGGGATATAGTGGAGATGACCTCACAAATGTCTGCCGAGATGCTTCTATGAATGGGATGAGAAGAATGATAGCTGGGAAGACCCGCGAGGAGATTAAGAGCATGTCTAAGGATGAGATTGCTAAGGATCCTGTTGCAATGTGCGACTTTTTAGAAGCCATTAGCAAAGTTCAACCAAGTGTATCAGCTGCTGACATTGAAAAACATGAGAAATGGTTTTCGGAATTTGGATCAGCTTAAAGGATAAATTGATGCGAGCAATTCACTCATTTTCTTTACATTTGTCCATGTTTGGTGGTTGGTCCTTCCGGTATTCCTTCTCACTTGTGTACTATTCAATTTTCTGACCAGCACTGGAATGATCAACTTATGTAATATGACAAATCACCAGGGGTTCATACCTCATTGTTCATGGTTTAATTTTTTCGCTGTCGTGGAAGTGTCCATTGCAATTATGTGATGGAAGGTGCTTAACTTGTAGCACTTGTGTCTGTAACTTTATCAAATGAAATTCCTTACTTTGAAACTAGAGAGTAAAATTAACAGCATCGTGTGAGCTCATGGTTTCATTCAATACAATGTTGCAATTGGATCCTACATTATCGGTATAATTTATGAACTTACTAATCAAGCATTATGAGGAACAACTCATTTCCTGTTGCCTGCATCTCTCATCTCCGCATCCTTGTAGTTAAGGAGTAAGGACGCAAAACCAAAAGGACAAATTGAAGTTCAAAATCAAATCCATGACCAAAACCACAGATGCAAATTTATTGAAGAAGAGGACAAGGTTAAAGTTTCGTCTCTAAGAAGATCACCCCCCCCCCCCCCC